GCTTGACTAATACGTTCCGAAAAATGAACGTTGTCAGGCAAACATGGCAAGACCTTGCTCGTTTTTTAAGCTCATTTCGACCCGCCTCATTCAACAATAATGAGACCCACTCTACTTAACAATAATGAGACACCCTTTTCCCTTCCGGGCAAGGGGCCTCTCGAGTATAACACCAGGAGGACATTACCGTTTCCGGTCAAGGGCTGCAGAGCCATTCCGTCCCATCGCAAAGTGTCTCCTGGCTATCATTCTGGCGATGCGGGTTGGGACCTCCTGGTTGATCTGGAGGCCATTAGAAGGATATATCATGTCACATTGTTTCCATCCCTGACACGGGAGGCCTTCTGACCCGCGCATTTAGCTACGGGTCAGCACAGGAACCCTCACTGACGCAACAACATCCCTGATCACTGCATGTAGTTCAATACTTGTCATATGGGCTCCATTTCCGCGTTTTTCTGTTTTTTTTTCAGAGATATTGAGCTCTCCCTGACCGTAGGTTGTAGATGAAATAGGGTAGCTAATTTGTATTAACATGGTTAACTCATGTTCGTCTTAAAATGCTCAAAATTCTGTCATAACTGATTACTGATAAGAAAACTGCTTTTGGACACGCGCGCTCGCAAGTCGTAGCAACAACAGCCTCGACGACCGACGTTGCAGTCTCCAGGACGTGCGGCGTTGGCCTTGCGGCTGTAACACTAAGCGATGGTCAGTGAGCTAACGAAAAAGATGACGCATCTTAGGGGGGGGGATGTCTGGTGAACTAGGTAAATCGGTATACATGTTTAATGTAGTGCAAAAGTAAGCCAAATGCAACCTTATCTGAAAAGTAGCGGGGGGAGTTAGCATTGCTGCCCCACCTTAAAAAGTGAGTGGCCATGAACCACTGGCCTCCCTGTTCCTACACCCATGCCTTCAATAAACCAAAAGTAAATGCACAAAATAGAGCAGAATACACAGTATATAGTGTATGGTTCTGTGAGCACAGAATGTACACAAAATGTCTTGTAATCTCTTTCCATTGACATTGTATGCAAGAAAAAACAATACATGGCACTAGGCTTGTTTAATGAAAACCTGGGGTTACATGTTTACCGAGAGCGCACGCTCACAAGTAGGGGAGGAAGTAGTTGACATAAATGCACCAATGACACACATCATGACACACCTAAACTTCTATGTGCACATTTCATCAACGGCACAACATAACGCGGACCAAGGATATACGAATCGCTGTGTATCGGTAAAGTTTGACAGAGGTTAGACTCGCAAGCACCATTGTGAAATATGGATCGTTATCGCTGTTGTTCAGGTAAGGTACGTCCAGCAATACTTGTCTGCTGATTGATTTGAACACTGATGTCGTGTAGCGAATTGCTTTCTGATATGTGATGCAGTTCATGGAAACCTTCCGGCCTAGCCATCGATGGTTCATGCAAGCCTTATCATAATGCCGTGTGCCTAACATTAGGATATGGAAGCTTGCATGCTTGATTATTTTAGTATCTTTAATTGTCATGATCTGCACAGATTTGCAACAGTTGCAATCACTCACAGGCCTTTGAGTTCCGCGTTTTGTGTTAACTTATTCACAGGTGACCATGTGTACTATCAGAAAATGTCGAATCATCATAATATTTTGGAAATATTGGCGTAGAAACGTGGCGTAACCAAAGGTCTCCCGGTGTGCTGATGTACCTGTGTTTTTGCACAGTTTTCATGACAAAAAAAAATGGTGCGTGCACACGTATGTGTGTTACAGTAATGTTGTAAACATTAACGCTTGCCATACATGTCAGCAATGCCTTTTTCTTTCAACGAGTGATGGGTTTCTGGGTTTACCCTCATGCCATGAACGCAGCCAGTGCCACTGAATTCCCTCGTAGGGCGAGCATATCTAAAAAACGAAATTGTCCCCAGATTTCACCCACTTTACAAACTAACTTCCCAGATATATGAAATTAAGCTAAGCCACCTCTCAGTCTGGCGAGATCTCATGACCTGTTAATCAGTGTCTCCTCTTGAACTGGTGGAACTTTTAGTAGCAGAAACGCCACCGTAGCTCAATCAGTGCGTGCTGCCCAGCCCACAAGCGACGGTGTGGATAGGTTTGAGTCCCCCGTTACTCGCGCCCTGCGCTCCACGTTCGTTATTTGCCCATTTCTTTTTAGGGTCTCATCTGGAGGAGAAGGTTCTTCCGAAGTCTCCTGAGCGTAGGCAATCCGAGCGCGAGTACTACACGCGTAGATCTTCCTCCGGGCATTAAGCCTTCCGAACATAGTTTTTCTGACCCTCATCTTTCCCGGTTCGGGAGACAAGCTCACCGTCGCTGCTTCATCAGCGGCAAGCTGTATGAGTTACCGGCTCGGGGGAGTGCATGGACAGCCGAAGAAGACAACAGTAGGACATGTTTTGACACCTTGAATGTATTTTTATGCGTTTGCTCGCCCTCCACCCCCCAGGGTTCATAGTTCACGACTTCACCAGTGTCACGTTTACGCACTGAAACTAGACTTCAACATATACTAACATTCACGCACTCCACTAGTCTGGACTTTTCTTGTCGACATTGATTTACATGAAAATTAGTGCATGGTACAGTTCAATGAGGACTCACTGTCACAGGCCTTGGTGCCCGCTTCAAAAGGACCAGGCCTGGGAGTCCCTCCCCCCCCCCCCTCGTCTCTGAAAGGAGACCCCATGTTGTTCAGGAAGCCCCCTGGAAAAGCCTTTCCTCAACTTATATTTCCTAACGCCGCCCCTGCCAGACCCAATAACTTGTGGGGAATCCACACCAACGAAAAGTCTCCACCAATCTTTCAATCTATCAGGTAATTGTTCTAAATATTATCACGTGCGGTGTTTTCAGCACAAGTGGCTATTCATTGAACCATATCCTATGATTTGTAATGTAGCGTGCTTTGTAATATGTTGCACCTTCGACCTAGAACCCAGTGATAAAAAGATCAGAAACAGGCTATTAACCCGATAGGGAGCATGAATTATTCATACCTATACTTTCACCTTTCTTGCAAGGTTACTCCGTTGGACACTGTAGGCTAATTGTGGTGAAAACATGACAGCGATCACTTAGAATAAACAACAGTTGCATCAAGACGTTCTAGTTGCATATAGTTATTACCAAACAGCGAACACGCCCCTGGTCAGACACAGAACAAGATCCACGCCGGCAAAGGGCAACGCTGCGACGCTTTAACGGCAGCTCTGCGCACGTCCAACGCCCCACTCCACGGTACTCGTCTCGTATTCAACGATCACTTGCAAGTCGATCGCGGCCTCGAAAACCTGCAGCATCCGACACCAAGTTTATCCCGGCGTGGGAAATGAATCCGTTGCTATGCGACCCAACGACCGCGCGCTTGTAATGTTCGCACTGGCGTCGACTGTATGCGCGCAGCCGACGCTGGGCGGGGCAACGCTGCCTACCAATAAGGGCGATTATTCACACCGTGGCGGCCGCTCCAAGAACTATCTTCGAAGCTCTGGTCCGTGGACATTTTGTACCTTGGACAATTACGTACATTGGACATTCTATACTTTGGTCATTCTGTACCTCGGACATTCTGTACATTAGGCATTATCATACGGGCCCCTACCACTCTGCGCCATTTTGGAAGTTATTTTTCGTCTTGGACATCATGTACCTTGGACATTGTGAACTTTGAACATTTATTTTGACGTTGACATTTGACATTTGACATCATATTGAACATTTGTGAACATTCCGTACCTTGGACATTGTGCTTTGGACATTCTGTACCCCTGGACATTCTGTACCTTGGACAACATGAACGCCTACCTGCTGAAGTACACCCTGAGCTTGGCCGTCCCATTTTCTGAAACGTTCCTACGCCTATGATGGGATGGCCTTCTTTGTTTAACAAATTCATTTCGACCTACTCTATTCGCCGATAATAAACCTCCACTCCACTCAACATTAATGGGGCCCCTTATTTCCTTCCGGGCAAGGGGCCCCTCGAGTAGAACACCAAGGGCACATTACCGGTTCCGGTCAAGAGCTGAAGGTTCACTCTTTCCCATCGCGAGGCGTCTTCTGGCTGTCATTCTAGTGACACGGGGCGGGATCTCCTGGTCGATCCGGCGGCCATTAGAAGTATATATCATATCGCATTGCTCCCCTCTCATACGGGAGGCCTTCTGACCCACGCAGTTGGCCCCGGATCAGCACAGGAACCCTCATTGACGTAAGAACATCCCTGGTCGCCAAAGGTGGTCCACTAATTGCCACACAGGCTCCAGTTCCGTGTTTTTCTGCTTTCTTCAGAGGTATTGACGGCTCCCTGAACGTAGATTGTAAATGAAATGGGTCCTAAGCTTGCATTAACATGGGTAGTCTATGTTTGCCCTAAAATGTTCAAGGTGTAGTCAGAATTGATTACTGATGAAAAAACTATGCAATATGGCTTTGAATATATGCGCTCGCGTCATAGCAACAACAGCCTGAACGCCGGGCGTTGCAGTCTCCATAAGCCGCGTGGCGTCGGCCCGCGGATGTGACACAAGCGACGGTCAATAAGCAAATGAAAAAGATGACGCATCTTGAGGAAGATGTCTGGTGAATTAGGTAAATCGGCATGCATATTTAAATGTGGTGCAAAAGTAAGATAAACACAGCCTTAACCTGCAGTGTGTGTGTGTAGGGGGGGCAGTTAACACTGCTGGCCCCCCCACACTGAAAAGTGGGGGGCATGCCCACCTGACCCCCCCCCCCCTCCCCGCTGTTCCCACACCCATGGCCCCGAGTGATATCTAGCTTGCCCCTCGCTAAGAAGCCGAAAAATAACCGATCCATGGAGGTAGATACTTCCCAAGCGCCCGGCAGGGCTGACAAGATTTGCATTTAACGGAAGTTTCCGCAGACCCTCATCTCATTTCCACCCCAATTTGCATGGACAGTTGCACATTGACACAGTTGCCAAATGCGCACATGTCTGATATGGCATCAAGCACGCGACAATGTTCGGATCTGTATTTGATGCGTTAGTTACGGCGATGCACAATGCCCGACCGCGTTTTCAGCCTTAACGAACGTGAACCCGATTTCGTTTAGAGGCACGAGTTCTAGTCATTTATTCAAACGTTCACACTCACAGTGGACAGTACGTGTGTCTGTGCTCTTGGGCGCACTACTGCGTTAGGGCTCAACCTGGAGGCATCACTGCAGTACGGCGGTACCTAGTTTCGAGGCAGGTGCCGACGATGCGCGCACTTCGCGCCGACACGTACCCAGAGCGTCACACCAGCCAGCGAGCGGCCAACAGCTGAGATCAGAGAGCGAGAGAGAGAGGGAGAGAGTGGGAAAGGAAAGAAACACGAGGCGTGATGAAGCACACGCCGCAACCCAGCCCGGAGCGTGCACACACCGAGACGGCACACAGGAGCACATGTTCGCACCCGGCAGCGGTGGCGACCGGGCCAACTACACGCCAGATCACACAGGCCACTCGTCCAAACAAGCTTGCTGCGGCCGTCGTCACCCCCGGCGGCGCCCGCCGGTCGCCAGATCACACACGGGCCTGTCCCCGGCCCCACAAGTCACGCCGGGGTCCGACATCCGGCCCGCCGAGTCACACACGGATCTGACATCCGGTCCCACGTGTCACACCGGGGTCCGACATCCGGCCCGCCGAGTCACACGCGGGTTTGACATCCGGCCCCACGAGTCACACCGGGGCCCGACATCCGGCTCGCGGGGTCACACAGGGGTCCGACATCCGGCCCGCCGAGTCACACAGGGGTCCGACATCCGGCCCGCAGTCACACAGGGAGCAAACACACACTGTCTGCCTGGCGTCGCAAGAGAACGGAAAGACCACTTGCCAGACTAAAGAGGGGCCCCGCGGGCCGCCCGCAAGGCTACGTCAGCCAGGCCCCGAGACACCGCTAACGTCTCACAGGGGAGCAAACAGATCGTTCCAGATCACACTGGGGGCCCAACAGGCCGCCTGCCGGATCAGGCCGAGGCCCGACAAGCCGCTGCTGCCGGGTCCCGCGGGGACCTCACTCCTCCTGCTCGTCGTCGTCGTGTTCGTCGTCGGCGATGGAGCGGGCGGTGCCGGTCGGCTCGGTCGGCTCCCGCTTGAGGGCGGCGGCCGGGCTGGCGCCCCCCGAAGCCAGACTGAGCAGCGCGCTGGCGCCGTCCTGCTCCTCGGCGGCGGCCGCCAGGTCCAGCAGGGAGCTGCCCGCCGACTCGGTCGGGCCCCGGGGCGCCTGGCGGGCATGCACGGCAAGCTATCACCGATGCCGCTGCCGTTCTTGCCGTGCAACGGGGTCACAAACGCACACATTGGACATAATGTTGCGCAGCCAACGCACCTTGCGCACCTAGTTCTGGTACCCTATACTTAACAAAGGCGAACAAACATCACGTACATCATACGCACATGCGACACATGTATGCACATCACGCACGCGATTGGCGTCAGCAATTGCGAACCATAACGGTAGCCGTACGCCGATGATGTAGTTCCGCGTGTTTGGTCAGGTGCCCCGCCCGGCTGGCGCCCCGCCGCGGCGTACCTGGCTGTTCTGGCAGCGCGGACACATGTACACCATGTCCTCGGTGACCTGGTAGTTCTTGGGCAGGCCCACGCAGATGTAGTGGTACCACTGCTCGCAGGCGTCGCAGCCGATCCAGTTGATGCACGAGCCTGCCGACGTAGGCGGACCGTCGGCGGCGCGTCACTCCCACCGGCCCAGCTGCCGCGCGCCGGCGCCCGAGACGGCCGCGCGTGGCAGGGCGCGTGGCGTTCACAGGACGGCGGCAGCCGCGGCGTCGGCCAGCTGGCGCCGCATCACGCGCAGCGCCCAGACCCACAGCGGCGTCGGCCAGCTGGCGCCGCATCACGCATAGCTCCCAGACCCACAGCGGCGACGGCCGGTGGAGCCGACGGCCATCGCAGTGGACGCGCATGATTACAACACCCATCCTGTTAGTCGACCACACATTCAGGCTCCTGCCACCACGCGTGGCGGTGGCCAACACCATCTATCGTGCGAGTGTGCGAGCGAGACGCCCCGCTGGGGTGCGCCGGACGGTGCGCGTGGGACGCCGCCGCCGCCGGCCCGGCAGCCCGCTTACCGTGGGGCTTCTGGCAGGGCGTGGCCGCACAGTCCTCCACGTAGTTGCTGATGGGCCCCGACTCGCCGTCCTCCGAGCTGCGAGCGCCGCCCTTGGGGTGGCGCTGGTTCTTATCCCACACCTGGAGCAGACAGTGGCGAGACCCATCTAGCACGCCGGGTCCACCGACAGAACACACTGGAGCGCGCGATAAGTCGCGACGTCGCCTTCAGTATCCTTCTCTTTTCCAGACGTGCCTCTTTTACACCGCAGTATTTCCGCAGGTCTTTTCCTCGGGATGAACCATGCGGAAGGCTGTTGCCACTATCACGAACCAACGCTGCAGCTAGCACTCTTGGCACAACGTGACATCGCGGTGAGCGCGGGCCACGTACCAAAGTAACAATATGTTCACACCCTGGCATTTCGTGGTGCTGTAAATCTGCTTTTTCGATCACATTTTGTCGCTCAAGCAAGAATATAACTTGAGGAGCACTTTGGTAGACCCGATCGTTTTCAGTGCAACTTGGCCGCATTCAGGCCGCGTTAACGAACGGCGTAGGATCCTGTCGGTCACCCGAAAAGTTGCCGGTTCTTACTGAAACCAGTGAGAGGCAAGCTAATGCCCACAGCAGTTGTTGAAATACGAACAACTAAATGAGAACGGCGGTTTTAAATCAATATCAGTTACTGGCGACCAGGCGCGCTGCCACACTAAATACCATGCACTCGAAACATCTTTCCCCATTCCAAGATGGACAGAAAATCTAACTAATCATAACGACACTGCGTCACTCATTTGGAATCGAGGTGCGTCACTGACCCCCTCGCGCTGGCCACTTCGCCCTACCCCCGTACCATTTTCTTGGTCTTGGTTAATTTGCGTTTGAAGCCTGCTGCAGCCGCCTTCGGGGTGCGTTTGCTGGGACTGGGCGAGGTCTGCTCCGGCCCCGGGCTGGGCGTGGTCGGGTCAGCAGAGTCCTCGGGCGGCTTCACCTTGACCTTGAGCCGTTTAGGCGGCTGCAGACCGCGCGGCGAGTCCGGCGAGCGCTTCTTACGTCCGGCGCCGGCCGACTTACGGCGCGCGCCGCCTTCCTCCATCTGAGGGCGGAGGGGACGGGTCAGTACAGGGCGCCGACGGACTCACGGTGCGCGCCGCCTTCCTCCATCTGAGGGCGGAGGGGACGGGTCAGTACAGGGCGCCGACGGACTCACGGTGCACGCCGCCTTCCTCCATCTGAGGGCGGAGCGGGAGGGGGGGGGGATAAAGGGTACCGGCCGGCTTACGGCGCACCATCCTCTCCCCAAGGAGAAGCGAGGCTGGCGAGTCATGCCACGTCACACATCATCTCCGCTCCAGTGCAGTCCAGGCCGACTGCTGGCGGGGCGCCGTGTTAGGCGCAGGTGATACGGAACACAGCAGGGTGCTAGCACACAGCGCCACACGGCCACCAGATGACAGTATAGTACCAGCAGCAGCCCGGGTGAAACACAAGATGAAAATGACACGCGGCAGTGGCCGCTCACGCCATGCAGCCCGGCTATAGGTCGGCTGGTTGTTTGCCGTCCGCTGTTGTCCGAGCTGCGTCAGCCAGCTGACGCGCCGCTCCGCCTGGCGCGCGGGGCTGTACTCCGTCGCACCTTGACGATGTCGATGTCGGGGAAGTTGAGGTCGGCGGCGGCGGGCCGGGCGGCCAGCAGCAGGCGCCACAACTGCTCTGTCTCCTCCAGGCTGACCTCCAGCAGGTCTCCTTCCATCAGCACCGTCTCCAGCAGCGCCACGGACTCGGGCGGCAGCGGGCGGGCCGGAGCCGGCGGCGGGGGCGGCGGCGGCGGTGGCGGCGAGTCAGCCCGCCGTGGCGACAGCACAGCCTTGCGTGGTTTCCGCGTCGGCGGCGGCGGCGTCTGCTTGAAGGCTGCCAGAGGACGGCACGTGAGGCGAACGTGGGGATAAGTAGCTAACCATATGGATGACGTGTAGTACGCCGTGTAGGCGCCTACCACGAGGTACGAATATCTACGAGAACAGCCGAACCACCAGGGCCCTGTTTACGCAGCCACCTCAGCGCCAAAGCAACACTTAGCAGCACGAATGCTGATACTGTTAGCCCGTACAGCTACAACAGCCGACAAGCCCAGGAGAGGTAAGCGCGGCTGAAGAAACCTGGCCCGGATCAGTTCGCAAAGGGTGGAGCTGATGGACTGTCACAAGTTCATGTGCAGGGTGCGCGGGCCGGTGTAAATACAACTTAATGACGCCCGATCATTAATGGAGGAGGCGGCCGCACCCAGCATCATCCTACACCACCAACAGCAGCTAGACAACGAGACCGATATATAACGTTACAGTGCAGCTGTGGGCATTCATAAGCAGGCGTTATGTTTTTCTTGCATCTTTGTAAAGATCAGAAGTTACCTAAGCACAAGTGGTAGCATATTTCGAAATTTTCTAAAACGTGAAGCCAACCAAAATACAACCTAGGAAATGAGGTGTATATTTGCCAGCCCGTGAGCGAAGCAAGGAAAATAACATCGTTTCATGAAGTTAGGAACCGTATAAAAAAGGAGAAACATTGTTTAACCCGCAATCCATGCTTAAAGTTCGCTAACTGAATGGAAAACTCGTCCGAAGAATATGAAAGAACCGAACCAGTTAACTATCCATACGTCATCATCAAATCTGTATTATGAATAAAGTTGCAAAAGAACTTTGATCAATTCGTGCACGGTCTAACATGATGCGCAATCACTTCCATCTTAAATTGTACATACACATACATTATGTGCTATTGAACAACTAGAGGGACGGATCAGACGGGGAGAATGGGTCAGGTCAAATCGAATGGCCCGGTGAGAACAGGAAATGAGAACTCCTCCCCACAAGCTCTGGACTTGACGCAGCACCACCGTTCCCTAAATAGCAGTGCTCAAGCATTGTTATCGACGAAAGAAAGACGGATAACTCATGTTTATGGAGCATTTCGAACGTCAATCAATCATCACAGACCAGACCGGACTAGACCGCGTATCAGCGGTATGATCCTTGGTGGCAGACATATCCCTTAGCACCTGGTCCGGACGATAGGCAAATCAAAGTTGTCAGCTGGCAGAATCACCCAGGACCTGGTGATGCGATCGCTAATTACCAGAGTGGGATCCGGTTCAGATTGTTTCCAGCCGTAAAGTAGAGCTAATATTGCCCATCAGAGATAAAGCGACTCGCCCTTTCTGGCGCCTCTGCCACCCCAAACGGCTGGATCGGGCGTCTCAAAAGCCTGTCCATGTTGATCGTATCACGGAAGCGCCGCTCCGGTGTGCTAGCGGCCCCCTGGCCCCAGCCAGGGGCAGTCCGTTTTGTATTGCTTTATGCGTGCCCAGACTCAGCTCTTGACGGCGTCTCGGTTGAAAAATATATGGAGCACCATGTTGTTCGACCAGTCTGAGAACCAGTCCCCAGTGAGCAACTGCTCCCTCCCAAAAACCCACATGAGGTCATTCGTTAGCCTTTGACATTAAATTTGGACGGCCACACTTCTGGGTTGATGGCCCATAGCGTTCAACTATAGCATCAACCGCTATAGCCCACCAGGCTGCAAACCCGCGCGAATGTCTGCAACGCCAACGCGGCCTGCAGCCTGTCGCCGGCACTGAGACAGCCGCCGCGGCCGGGTGCGGCCGGACAGGGCCTGAGGCCAGCACTGAGACAGCCGCCGCGGCCGAGCGCAGCCGGACAGGGCCTGAGGCCAGTACTGAGACAGCCACCGCGGCCGAGCGCAGCCGGACAGGGCCTGAGGCCAGCAATGAGGCAGCCGCCGCGGCCGAGCGCGGCCGGACAGGGCCTGAGGCCGGCACTGAGACAGCCGCCGCGGCCGAGCGCAGCCGGACAGGGCGAGCGGGCGCGCGGCGTCCCCCACCTGACGAGTAGGCGTGCTCGGAGCTGGAGAAGCCGGCCGGCGGCGCCGCCGGCTGCTCGGAGCTCTCACGCTTGATGTGCACCGACGAGGCGTCCCGGCTGCTGTCCGACGACTCGGCGTCAGCGCCCAGCGACGACTGCCGGCACGGACGGCGGTCGGTCGGCCGCAGGCCGAGTACAGCACGGATGCAGAAACCAGACGCCGTGCGTACGAACACCCAGCTGATCGCGAGCCCAGGTGGCGTGAGGCGGTGAACGGCGCAATAGTGCCGCGTCACGTAACAAAGAGAAATGCGCGCCACGAGTTTTGCGTACCCCTCAGCTCGATTAAATTTCCTCTAATAGCTTTTAACTACATATCTGTACACAAAATTCGCGAATGGTCTGACATAGACCCCCACACTGTGCGTGAGCAGAAGGTCTGTCTCCTAGCAAGAATAACTTACTGCCGGCCAGCTCTGACATCATCTGACCTATCTTAAGATGATGCGAGCCCTGATTTCCCACACCGTGTCAAACTTTTAATGAATGAACTAGAACGCTCAGATTGCCCGGAGCATTTGCTTCTTAGGCACGATGAAAACAAGAGCGGAGAGGAAAACCCGTGAGTTTCCCGCAAAACGCGGATAAAGAAGAACAAACCGAGCCGCGGGCCGGCCCCCGCACACGCTAGCGAGGAGAACATTGCTACAAATCCGACGTGGGGTTCAGACTACATCCCGCGAACGCGGCCTGACCTCGCTGTTTCTCTGGTCGGCCTTCGCCGCCTGCCGTCCGGCCGTCTTCTCGGCCCGCTCCTTGGCGCTGGTCTCGGCGCGCTGAGAGACGGCCGCTAGGCTGCTCAGGCTGGCGACCATCTCCTCCGAGGAGAGCACCTGGCGCGCCCGGTCCTGCCGGATACCACAGACGGGGTCAGGCTGACAGATACAGCCCTGTGCCACACCACAGCTGAGGTCAGGCTGACGGACCCGATTCTAACATAACAATCAGTCAGAGGTCAGATTGGAAAGGGTGAGGAATCTGCTGGCAAGTCACCTGGGGTTATCAACGTCCGGCACTGACGTCAAGCGTTCGCTTCGGCCTCGAATAACATCGATTTTTTATAGCAATGCCACCAGGCACATAAAAGCCACAAGGTAACAACTGACGCCAACATCGCCAGTAGCTGGCGGTGTCGTGACGCCGCTGGCTGGCGCGGCTGGACAGGCGCGCCCGCTGGCGGCCAGCTCACCTGCCAGCGCATGGCACGCTCCGTCAGACACTGCAGCGCCACGCCCTCGGCCAGCCGGACGGCCAGCTTCTGGTGCGACACCAGCAGGCTCAGCACCGTGTCCAGCCGTGGGCGGCGGGAGCGCTGACACAGCGGGCACAGGAAGTGGGCGTCGGCCGGCGGCGGCGTCGGCGGCGGTGGTGGCGGCGGCGTGCCGTCCGAGCCGCCGCCCGACCGGCCCTTGCCCGAACCCCTCTGTGCCAGCGGCACGCACGACGCTGCCGGCACGTGACGACAGCGTCTGACCAGGCACGCACGCACGCGCACGCACACATACATGTATATTAACGATTTCGCACTGACGTGGACATCATGAACGGTGGAACGATGAAATGAAAATGTTGCGGCAGATCAGCCTCACATATTATATGCACCAGCCTATAATACCAGTCCGTCTATGTAGGGCACCAACCATCAAATTACTTAGCACCGGTTCAAAGCAACATACGCTATACTTTTCCAGATAGTCGCGAGCCAGGAGCAGGTTAGTATATCTTGTAGCACGCCACAATCGTATTACCCGATCCGTTCGTTAGCAAGGCGGTTGCTTCTTCTTGTTGTTTATTGGAGTTACCGGGCGTGCCGACTGCGGTGGTCATTTGGCGCCCATAAAGCGCTTACTTCTGCGTTACCAGAGGGTAACGAGGATGTAAGCGCTTTGGCCGGTCAGGGAAGCCCCGCTCCAGTTGGCAGTTGTTGGCGGTGACGGCCGCTGGTCCTCGGCCGAGACACAGCCGGCGGTGGTAGCCGCTGATCCCCAGCCGGGACAAAGCCGGCGGCACTCGGCGGCGCTCACCGTGGAAGTAGTCCCGGCAGAGTTCGCACTGCAGCATGTAGCCGCGCAGCCGCTGCCGGCAGAGGCAGTACTTGCCCTGCTGGGCCTCAGTCTGCCGCTTCTGCAGGTTGCCGGCGCGCAGACCGCGCACCAGCTCCAGCTCGCGATCCTCGGCAGCCTGGCGGCCACAGCGACGCGTCCGTCAGAAGAGGGCGTTCACCGCCACCTCAACACCATCCGTTTCAACCGAGTGGCGGCCCGGCCACGACCGAGTCCCGCTGGTACCCCGCCACCATCACGTGCGGCGTCATCGGAAGTCGAAGTTGGGTGGTCAACCAAAACCACGTAAGCACTCATCAGTACAGCACTGACGCGTGGACACCCGACAGAGCGGCACAATGGCGGGAGGGGCCGCGACGAGTGACGCCCAAAACATGGCATTGTAATGAATGCAATCGTAACGTCACAACAAAACGCAACGAGACCGGTCGCAACACGATTCACAATATACCACAATCATAGCATTGTTTTCCAACCAAACGCCGCACAAATCTTCCTCAAAGACGCCAGGACGGCGACGCCCTACGGGAGAGCAGGGCAGGAGAGCCTGACCCGCGCTCACGCCGGTCCCATCGAGCGGCGCCGTCTGTCAGCCAGCACTCTCACCCGGTAGGCGTCCACCACCTGGGCCACCGTGCTGCCGTCCGTCTCCAGATCACTGGAGAGCAGGTGCTCCTCCTTGGGGCGCCGCCGCTTGCCGCGTGACTGGTGTACGCTCACGTCCGCGCGGGGCGACAGTACCTGGCGGCGCACCGGGGTATTGGGCACAAACGAACCGAAACCAGTGCCAGCAGTGGCACCACCGTACAGCGAAGCAAGCGCCCAGGCAGCAGTAGAAAACCAACACTCGTCGGACATAGATGGGCAACTCACATTGACCAAACAGCGGCCAGCACAAAATTAAGCGTTTGGTTCAGCTGTTTCCGGCGCTCGCATCTTGAAGCCGCCCAGCGATCAGGACAGGTCTTCCTTATTTGCCTCGTACACTGGTGATGCATTCAAGCTCCGAGAGTTATAATGAGCACAGGCTTCCCAAGATCATGACATTTCTAAGAGCACATCGTTGCACAGATGCCAAACTGTACAGAAGACGTTAAGTGCCATAGTACTGCCTCGCGCATGCTTTCAAAACAAAATATCGTAATATTGTACGGCTAAATATACCACCCATGCTTAGACGATCATGTCCCTAGATATCTGACACCACAGCCGACCAATCGGTTTCGCGCAGGAAGCGAGTGCCCTCTGTCTCGAAGCGAGCCTGGAGGGAACCGACCCCGATCTGGGCTTACCTCCAGCAGGGTGAAGGAGTTTCGCTTGAGGAAGGTGCGGCTGGTGCGCTCCCGCCAGGCTCTGGCGCTGTTGGCCATGTTCTCCAGGCGGCTGAGGTCAGGCAGCAGGACCGGCAGCGGCTGCCCGCGCGCCACCAGCGCCTCCACCACCTAAATCAGCAGGCCACCGTCAGACGGCCAGGCCAGCCTGCAGCCGGATTCACTGCTCGGTGATCTCTCATACAACAATGTGACATATGCTCCCAGGGGGGGGGGGGGGGGGGCTACGAGAGCAGCACATGCTACAGGACTTGAGTGGACACCCACCTGATACAGCTTGACCATTTGAGTGCAAAGCGTGGGCATGTGTACCCACCCCTACAGCCGTGATTCCCTTCGCCGGGCCGACGCTGAGTACAAACAGCAGATGGCGCCCATCTCACGCGCCCGGCGTTCGACGCTGCCCGCGCGGCGTGTCGGGTGGTGTCGCGCGCCGCCGTATGGGACGGCCCGCTGCGCTGCCGGCCGACTCACCTCCAGCCGAGGGTGCTCCTTCTTCTCGGTGAGCGCCACCACGCGCTCCAGCCAGTCCTGCGCCTTCTGCACCACCTCCTGCAGGCTCTCGACGTTGGGCAGCGAGGCGGGCACCTTCTCGGCGTCGCGCAGCAGCGCCTCCACCTCGGTCAGACTCTGCACCGGCCTGAGGAATCGCCGCGGAGTCGCCGTCAGCGCGCCGGACGGCCGGGACGGCTTGCGAGGCGGGCGGCCCGCGGGCCAGCTCGGCTGGCGGTCTTACCGACCGACAATCGTCCTTACAGGGGTCCCATCGTCAGCACGAACTGAACGGTCCTACCACTACTACACGCCGGCAGCTGACTCCCAGTCGCCACGCTTCAAGGCCAAGTTATGACACACTCGAAGTCCCGCCACCATCCAGACAGCCGGTACGCGCCGCGCTCGCGTGCCGCCGCCGGCGCGGGTGGCGCGGCGGACCGTCCCTGACCGTGCGGTGAGCGCCAGCCGGGCGCGCTCCTCGTGCTGCTGGCCGGACAGCAGCAGGCCCTGCAGCTCGCCCATGGCGCGCTCCACCACGTGGTAGGGCGGCAGCGTCCTGCCGGTCTCCACCAGCTGGGCGATGCCGTCCAGAGTCAGCCGGCGCCGGCCGTCCAGGCCCTCCTCCACGGCCTCCATCCACTGGGCGTGGCTCAGCCGCTGGGGGCGCGCCGACCGTCAGCACTCACCAACGTTTGCGGCCGGGTCGTACATTACAGTGTGCATTACAAGCCCGCAGAGATTTTCTCTCGCCAAACATCAAAGGGATCGTGCCATAGTTCTGTGAGGTTTGAACAGAACTAGACGTTCTGAAGATCATTCGGTGTAGCTCACAGTCCTGCCCCTCCTAAGACTTCAAACCCGATCGTTAATGAGCTACACGCCCACAAAGACGTGCAGGCTATTTCGTGCCGACCATTTCATGGCCATTCAGGCCCGCATGGCGCTATAGCAACGATATTCAAATTCTGCCACCCACAATGAAGAACTTGAAGGACGTCGGCCATGCGACGTTGCAAGTCAGTGACACTATCATTATCGACCCGATGAGATCTGACATCCGTGAGCACGATTTCTAAGTAAAGCGGATGTCAAATGACTCTCAATCAATCTTGAGCGAACTGTGCAAGCTTCAATCGTGAGTAACGGTTTGCGCTGCACAATTTAAGAAGTTGAACATGGTTTATTTACTTGCTAGCCATTACGAGAATAGGACTTCTTATCGAATAATTTAGGAATAACGCTATGACCGCGCTTGTTAATACAACTTAACATCTTAAAGTTACGAATAAATATGAAAGAATGCTACGAGAACGGGTCAAAACACGAGCACCTAACGGTATTTGGCTAGTGAACACTACCAAGCACCGCCACTGCCATTTTTCGGTGAGTTTGACGTAGTGAGCAAATGAGCGCTAGAATAGCAATTTCGCACTAGTTTGGCAGCACCTAAACGTCGTACAAACGTCCCATGACACGATCAAACAGTAACAAAGTGTGAAGTATATTTACTGGAGAGATGTTCTGGTCTAAAGCACGCTATCCATTTCAAAGTACACCAATAGGTATAAGTGAGCTCATTTCATCACATCTGAGGCTTGCTTCAAAATTTTTAACAGTGGAGCATCCCTTTTCACAACATCAAACATCCTACATCGATTTACATATATAATAACCTTTCGCAAACTTATGACGAGCAAAAGACACAAGGTGATGGCGCAAGGTGATCGCGAGCAAAAGACACAAGGTGATGGCGCAAGGTGATCGCGAGCAAAAGACACAAGGTGATGGCGCAAGGTGATCGCGAGCAAAACACACAAGGTGATGGCACAAGGTGATCGCGAGCAAAAGGCACAAGGTGATGGCGCAAGGTGATCGCGGGCAAAAGGCACAAGGTGACGGCGCAACGCCCGGGGCCCGTGACCCGCTGAGAGCGGCCCGGGACCGCGCCCGTTCGGTCCGGGGAGATCCTCACCTGGCGCAGCTCAATGATCTCGGGCAGCTCGATGTCCAGCTGGGAGCCGAGATCGACGCAGGCCTGAATGTCCGCGGCCGGCGGCGGCAGTTCCGGCTCCACCAGCTGCACGGCACGCCGCTGGAACTCCTGCACCTGGCGCACGGAGGTTAACAGCTCCAGCACAGCTCGACAGCGCGCTCCTGTACCAAAGTTGCATACATCAACAGCGCGCCAGACCTTAGCAGTTAGTTTCTACACCTGCAGTGCTAAAGTTAACAGCGCTCAACAAGCACACAGCCCAATGAGCGGCAGCCAACGCCAGCACCGCGGGCAATAAAAATGGTAATGCACGGGTTTGACGCAGCTGACAATAGTTAGATCACGCTCGGATTGAATGACTGCGACCACAGGGCACCAGGTAAACGAAATCGAACCAGTGCTGAGCTTGCATCATCAGTGCCACCATTGTCAGATCACCAGCAACGACCCGCCTCATCTCCGCTATCTTCGAGTCACTGTGACCTCTGCCGGATCATCACCCATGTCCCCTTTGTGCCAGCTTGGCTGCGGCCTCCAGCGCGTCTCCTCGGACGCTTACCTGGTCCAGCAGACGGCGAATGTCGTCCTGCTCGCGGATCCGGCACGCCAGCTGTTCGATGTGCTCGTGAAACAGCTCCAGCTCGTCCACCGTCAGGCGGTATTTGGTCTCGCCCTGTGGCCGCGTCCTATCGACAACAACGCGCGTCACCAACGGCCGGGCGACGCTGAGGCGCCCGACGGGCGACGTCGGGCGGCACTGAGGTGTCTTGTGAACTACGGCGACCAACAGGCGGGGCATGTACGTACAGACACTGGAAGCAGACGTACGCATAGTCACAGTCGACGGACATTGGTAAGGCGGAGCTTCGGCTGCCAGATCCAGGTTTTGCGAACAGGAATCCGACCGAGGGATAATGTCTCTGTTTACCAGTCATTCGCTCTCTATGCTGCGGCATTGCGTAAGGTTTAGCTTAGTAGAGGCGCTGTGCGAGACCGGTGCCTTACGGTGGCCACAGCATGGCGACGCAGTTTTTACCTTAAAATGCCACAGTGCAGCAACCAAAAATCATGACTGCCTAAGTGACAATTTTTTCGTTTTTCTGCAATGATTGGATTAACGTTGGGTATGTTAAGAGTTTTGGTCTGGTCAAAATCGCAATATCTTCCTCATTCAGGGGACCAGTGCCTTGGGAAAATGGATAGTGGGCCCCTTCTTGAGCTGAGACTTCGGACCCTGAATATCCGAATACTCAGCCAGAATTTTCACGTTCGAATGCCTACCGGAAAACACACCGACATCTTCCAAGAACACCAAACATACACCTTGGATCCAACCAACACCTGACTTTCGCATCTCTGTGGCCCACGGTTTAATCCTCAATACCCTCGATCCCCTTACATCACGTTTGCGTGAAAAGGGACTTCATCGCAATCCTGGGACACCACTGGTATGCCAAACATCTATAGTTTACCTACACATGGTATGAAAAAATGAAGTATTTTTTGTGGCCTTTCCCATGGCAGTGATATTTTCCTTGAAAAAATCCTCCCAATCCGTGGGTAAGCTACAGTTTCTGCACGTCCGCCCGGTATGTCTATGGCTTTCATATGTCTTTGAATCGATCTGCATGTGTACAAGCGGCGTCCATACAGCTATATGCACGTGTCCAAGAGGAGATTACGATCAGAGCAGCGGTAAGCCCTGTTTGTCGCAACAGTCAATTCAAACTGCAATTAAAATGTTGCTACTCGGAAATCAATCAGGTCCAAAGGCACCAAGCTTATCAGCGAGCACTAAGTGAATACGGAAGTTTAACATAAGCTGCGCACATGATACGAAGCACACGACGCTGTGTGCTTTCGAGTTGTGGATCGGGAGCGTTTCATTGCTCAATAAAAATGATGCCTTTAAAAAATCGTACCTTTTGAAAACGACCTCATGGCATCACTCATGGACTGATCGTAGTTTTCGTTTCCCATTCATGGATATATGCGTAGATGAATGGGATCAGCCTATCCACCTGGACGTGTCTCCAATCCATTGAGTTTTCCGCTGACTTCGGTCTCCTTGAGGGCTTCGGCGCAGAGACTGGTCAACATGGCACATTTTGGCCAGACAATTTTGCCATAACGCCCTCCAACAATAAGAAAAGCATTGGTTAATCACATCACCGGCTCCACCGGCACGTCAATGCACGCCGGAGCATGGCGCGCCACCATCTGGACGAATCGGTGGACGCCGCCGTACAGAAAATCCGGTAGCTTCACCAGCACGAGGGCGCACCACACAGAAAGCTCGCGCCATGCAGTCAAGCATGCTCGACCTCAACGGGACAGGGTTGCACTCGCATCGGACCAATCACACACGCACACACATGCGGTTACACGCACAGTAAACTGGGGCCTCTAGAGTACGACATGGTATCTACTCGGCAATGACTGACGTGCATAGCAGCAGTCCCGAACGGAGGGCCGTGGGAAATAGCTGTGCAGTCAGCCCAGTCCCGACTGTCATACAGAAGCGGATCGGAGATGGAGCACGATCCAGCCCACCAAACATGCACACAGCGGCTGGACAGCGGCGCGGGCCCGACATGGAGCAGGTCTGGGTCAACTACAGCTACCGTGTCTCAGCGAGTCGCCCGCTCTCTGGCACCGGCCGGCAGACGCGCAGATTTCAGTGTGGCGCGGCCCCAAACCGCCGCTTAACGCCGCCCGATCGGCGATACGGGAGCTCGGATGAACGACGCATCACCTTCCGTACAAGCTGTGGCAGCGGTTCTGGTGGACGCCGCGAGCCTCCGCTGCTCGTGCGCAGGCCCCGGGCGCAGGAAGTGGGTGACACTCCATGCTTTCATCCCCCCCCCCCCCACGTCCAACAAATGGCAATGACCACGGCCCGCCGTCGATGGTCATTGCGCCCCCGACCCGGCGAGAATCCCTCTGGAGCAACGGCAGCCGGCTACCGACGAAGCATACGGGCGAGCTCTGGGCCAACGCCAGTCAAACACGACCAAGATCAGAACAAGAACAACACACCAGTCTATCATAAACCCACATATATTCATGCCAATAAAAACATCACGGCTATCCACAAGGACACTTCCTGCTGGCAGGAAGCTGCTATTTGGCTGAGTTATTGCAGCTACGACTGGAATATAAAGCATACTCACAAAAACGATTCGATTTGGCACGTAGCAGAGCCTGTGCCCCGTACTCGACCATTAAGACAAATCCGTAGCGGATTCGAGGCAAAGCTCGTTGGTCGAACCGTCTAACCAGCGGTTTTCAAACGGGCCCTTGCAATTTAAGGGCAAGAAGAAACACTAGACCAGAGACGTGCATAGCAGTGGGGATTTAAATAACGCCCTACAAGCATACAATCATTGGCATAAAGCGTCGCTTGAGTCGACGCAGCGAATCTGCATGCCACGTATGACGCGAGGATCGAAACAGGGCTGGGGAAGTGGCGTGAGTGCGTCACACGCACATCCAGTCACCCCGAACGCCAGCAGACTGCGCCACCAGCCTGCCGCACCGGCATCGACGGGTGACGACCGACGCACCACCAGCACGCCAACACCGATCATGGCGCCAGCCGGTGCAACCGCTTGGTTTTGCCCATCGATATTTCAAGGAATGCCAAAAGATGAGTTCCGATGGCCTTTGGTGCGCAGTGCGATAGAGCCTTGCACATGGGTTATAAAGGCACGTACATTCAGTGTTTGACAAACACGGAAACTAACAGGCTGTGCTGCTCCCTGAGATAGTGGCACAAACACATCAATTGCAAGTGAAACTAGAGAAACACAGAAGGTGACATCGAACAACATAACGCACTTTGCAGCGCAACAGCCCCGCTTAGTGAAGTAGTAATAAGACAGCCGCTGCAGCACCGTTCGGATCCTGATCCGCATACAACCGGGCGGGGTTCAACTCGTCAAAGCAGACCATGCAGCGGAACCATATGGCAACGGCTGTGCAACTGACTTAAATACACGGTTTGTTACGAATTACGAGCCCGTTTGCCACACGGGTTCATAATAAAACACGCTTCAAACACAGGAAACACTCCGAAGGCGCCGCCAAATATCCTGTTCGTAATATCTAGCGCGGTTACATCTGAGACATGCAGTACATCCTCCCATCGGAGCGCGCCAACAGAATCAAGAGTGCCCACTTCGCTGGCGGCTCTCGGGAAGCTCGTAGGTACATCGCGAAGCATACAATCGGCTAAGAAGTGCACACGGTGCCGCCCCGGACCGTGGGCGTTCCGCCACTCAGTGCACAGGACCGAGCCGGGCGAGTCCACTGCGGCCCGGCGCCCGCCGCGCAGCCTCATGAGATCAGCGCCATCTGCCGACCGGCCGGTCGCCGGCGGCGTCCGCGCAGACAGGCGGCACCAGCGGCACCAGCGGCGGCGGAGGGCGGCGGCGACGGCGGCGGCGGCGGCGGCCGGACGCCGCGTCCGGCGGCCGCCTACGTGCCACTCCTGTAACACACGTGGCGCGGTGCGAAAACAAGGAGGCAGCGCCGGGTGCGCTGCGGCGCGCCAGCGACAGAGGCGCGTGCGCCTGAGCGGCGGGCCGCCGGCGCCAGGGGGCCAGGTGGCGGGCGGGGAGCCGACCGCGCGCACACACACACGACGACCGCCTCTGATCAGCGCCGACACATGACCGCGCGGAGGGACGGCAACAGAGCGTGCGGACGCGCGGCGGGGCGCGGCGCGGCGCCGCCTGCAGCAGCCACCTGACCCCTCTGGCCCGGGCGGCCGCCCCGACCCCGGCCACCGCTGAGACACTCACCTGGTGCGGACTTTCTTCGTGGCCAGCTGCTGCGCCACCATCGAGCACTTGGTGGCTTCCTCGATCACCATGGCCAGTGAGCTGATGAGGTCTGACTCGGGGAACCGCTTGGCCTCGGCCTCCTGCGAGCAGCCCCTTCAGCTCGTCCAGCCTGAGCGACAGCGTGGGCGTCACAGGTCAAGCCGCTGACATCAGTGCTGGTACACGGGTCAACTCCCAAAACTCTACCCGATTGTACGATGTTGGAATATTAATTTAAAGATTCTGGCGCAGAAAACAAACCGGATCTCGGACTGCTGTCGGTAAGCACAATTAAGATGATCAGGATAATGCTTTGCTGCCTGAAACACGGTATGCCATCCGCCGTTCTGCAATACCTGCGAAACTTTTTCAAAGATTTTTAATCCGAGACTGTTAAATGGATGAATTTCTGGGATCACAGTTATCGCTAAGGAGTACTTGTTATATGAGCGCCGACCCCTACCATCCAATCGAGAATTCCAGGGCAACGGCAAAATTTAGCGGCGAAAGTTTAACGTTGCTCGGAACGGTCTGACCAGCCCTCTGACGTCACCTGACCTTCAGCGCGGCCGCTGCCACCGGCCGCTGGCCACACCAGTCCAGGTCAAATAGCGGGCGCCTAAAGCGAGTCGAGCCCAGCCCGCCACTGGTGGGTGGACCGGAAGGTAGGCACTCTAACCAACTGAGTCGTCGGGACGGACAAATTACTTAGTGTGTAAGTGATCTTCCAATGGAGATACTTTTGCGAAGCATCCTCAGTGCCGCCACCAAGTTTCCAGGTGGCGTGGTTGTGACATACGAGGTGAACAATCGGATTCAGAACAACCAAATTTGCGAATTTAGCGGTTACTGAATTCATAAATAGCTGTAACATTCGGAAGCATTCC